AATCAGGGTAACAAAACTTTATTCTTCCTGCCCCAATAACAAAGAAACTGGGGATCCCACACCAGCCAAAGTAACCACTTTGAGTTGCTGTTGTTTCATGCCAGGCGAGTGGGTGTGCCTATGCAAACAAGATCAGCCCCTGGAGTTCTTTTCCACACTCGCCATAATTCACCACCAGATGTCAGGGTAGAGCTCATCCTGACTCTGCTTACATCTGTATGTAAAGTAAATAAGGTTTGTAAAATGCTTAAGAAGCTTCATTTAAAATTAAATTAAAATGCAGAGTCCCCCGGACCGGTGGCCAGGACCTGGGCAGTGTGAGTGCCACTGAAAATCAGCTCGCGTGCTGCCTTTGAAACACGTGCCATAGGTTGCCTACCCCTGGCCTAGTGATCAGAGCAGGGGATTGGAAATTGAGATGCTTGGGTTTTGTTCCAAACACCAGGAGGAGTGTTATCTTGTGGTTAGAGTATTGATAGCTGGGAGTCATAGGTTCTGTTCCCAACTCTGGGAGGGGAGTGCGGTCTAGTGGGGATGGGGCGGGGGGACACTGTGAGTCAGGACTCTGGGACTCTATCCTTAGCTTTGCCACTGACTTTCCATCCATAACCTCGGTCATGTTGCTCTGTGCCTTATTTTGTTGTTCTGTAACACAGGTACAATAATACTCACCTAACTTCCATGAGGGTGTGAGGTTAGTTAAGCAATATGCAAAAAGCCGTTTGAGAGCACAGAGAAAAGCAGAGTATGATTGTATGGGATGGCTGTGTTCACCCCAGCACCCCAGAGACTGAGGATGTAACCAGAACCAGCGTCTGTACTTGAACCCTGAGCCTAGCTTCCAAAGAATGCAGAACCTGCCTTCAGGAAGAACACTGCCAAGTGCAACAGAAACTGTTTATTTGTGACAGCATTTCACATAGGTATTTTCTTTGTACAGTAAACAGTTGTGTTTGCCCCAATTCTAGGTGGAGTTTAAACCCTAAATGGATTGGGATGAGCCACATTTTGATCCTGTTAACTGGATTTTTTTTTTTAATGTGGATATGTGCATTTTATTAACACAAAGCATGGGGACAAGGAGACAGATTCTTAAATACAACCAGGGCCTCGTCTACATTATGAGTTTAGTTCGAATTTAGCAGCGTTAAATCAAATTAACCCTGCACCCATCCAGACAACGAAGCCATTTACTTTGACATAAAGGGCTCTTAAAATCGATTTCTGTACTCCACCCCAACGAGGGAAGTAGCGCCAAAATCGACATTGCTGGTTCGAATTAGGGATAGTGTGGACGCAATTTGACGGTATTGGCCTCCGGGAGCTATCCCACAGTGCACCATTGTGACCGCTCTGGACAGCAATCTGAACTCGGATGCACTGGCCAGGTAGACAGGAAAAGCCCCACGAACTTTTGAATTTCATTTCCTGTTTGCCCAGCGTGGAGAGCACAGGTGACCACGCGGAGCTCATCAGCACAGGTAACCATGCAGTCCGAGAATCAAAAAAGAGCTCCAGCATGGACCGTACGGGAGGTACTAGATCTGATTGCTGTATGGGGAGAAGATTCTGTGCTAGCAGAACTACATTCCAAAAGACGAAATGCCAAAACATTTGAAAAAATCTCCAAGGGCGTGATGGAGAGAGGCCACAATAGGGACTCATATCAGTGCCGCGTGAAAGTTAAGGAGCTCAGACAAGCGTACCAGAAAACCAAAGAAGCAAACGGAAGGTCCGGGGTAGAGCCGCACACATGCGGCTTCTACGCTAAGCTGCATGCAATTCTAGGGGGGGCCGCCACCACTACCCCACCCCTGACCATGGATTCCAAGAAGGGAGTACTCTCAGCCATGCCTGAGGATTTTGTGGACGGGGAAGATGAGGAGGAGGAGGAGGAGGAGGACAAGCTTGCAGAGAGCACACAGCACTCCGTTCTCCCCAACAGCCAGGATCTTTTTCTCAGCCTGACTGAAGTACTCTCCCAAGGCGGTATCCCAGACCATGAAGCCATGGAAGGGATCTCTGGTGAGTGTACCTTTGTAAATATAAAACATGGTTTAAAAGTAAGCGTTTTTTAATGATTAATTTGCCCTGAGGACTTGGGATGCATTCGCGGCCAGTACAGCTACTGGAAAAGTCTGTTAACGTGTCTGGGGCTGGAGTGGAAATCCTCCAGGGACATCTCCATGAAGCTCTCCTGGAGGTACTCCAAAAGCCTTTGCAGAAGGTTTCTGGGCAGGGCCGCCTTATTCCATCCTCCATGGTAAGACACTTTACCATGCCATGCTAGTAGCAAGTAATCTGATATCATTGCATGACAAAGCCTGGCAGCATATGGTCCCGGTGTTTGCTGGCATTCAAGCAACATCCGTTCTTTATCTCGCTGTGTTATCCTCAGGAGGGTGAGATTGTTCATGATAACCTGGTTGAAATACGGGAATTTAATTAAGGGGAAAGAGGTGGCCATTCCTACTGGGCTGTTTGCCTGTGACTGAAAAGAAATCCTTCCCTGCAGTTAGCCAAGCGGTGGGGGACAGGGTCCATTGGCGCTGAGCTTTTCGCATTTGGCTAGCAGGGATCTTCCCTGATACCAGCCATGCGGTGGAGGGAGGGGTAAAGCGATCATCCTAGAGAATTGGATGGGCGGGCGGTTAGTTTGGTTTCTGCTGCTGCATGTTAACATGAAAACCGCAGCACTCAACGGGCTTTGCTTGGTATGGGAAAGGAGGGGGCTGCTTTTATGAAGGTTGCAGAAGCCGAAAGACAATGGCTTACATGACCGCATGCAAGCCGAATTCTGTTGCCCGGCCCTGCATCTGATCTCTAACGCCAAAGCCGCAGGCACTCAATATTAAGATACAAAATGCCCTCCTCCGTCCCGAAGGCTATCTCAGATAAGGCGGCAAAAAAAATGGACATGAGACTAAATGTTCTCTGAGATCATGGAATCGACCCGCAATGAAAGAGCTCATCTGAATGAGTGGAAGGACACGGTATCAAAGTACAGGAAAGCTGCCAACAAATGTGAGGACAGGAGAGACGAACGTGAGGAGAGGTGGCGGCAGGAAGATCAGAGGAGGCAGGATGCAACGCTGGGGCTGCTGCGTGATCAAACAGACATGCTCCGGCGTCTGATGGAGCTTCAGGAACAGCAGCAGGATCACAGACTGCCACTGCAGCCCCTGTATAACCGCCCTCCGCCCACCCCAAGTTCCATAGCCTCCTCACCCAGATGCCCAAGAACGTGGGAGGGCTCCGTACACCCTGCCACTCCACCCCAGTGGACAGCCCAAGCAAAAGACTGTCATTATTTTGAACTTTTGAAGTGGCCTTTTCCTTCCCTCCTCCCAAACCCCACCCGGGCTGCCTTGTCAGTTCTCTCCCTATGTTTATAATAAATTAATAAAGAATACATGATTTTTAAACAATAGTGACTTTATTTCCTTTGAAAGCAAGCTGTGATCAAAGGGGGGAGGGTGGGTTGCTTACAGGGAATGAGTCAAACAAGGGGGCGGATTTTCATCAAGGAGAAATAAACAGAACTTTCACACCGTAGCCTGGCCAGTCATGAAACTGGTTTTCAAAGCTTCTCTGATGCGCAGCACTTCCTGGTATGCTCTTCTAATCGCCCTGGTGTCTGGCTATGCCTAATCAGCAGCCAGGCGATTTGCCTCAACCTCCCACCCCGCCATAAACGTCTCCCCCTTACTCTCACAGAGATTGTGAAGCACACAGCAAGCAGCAATAACAATGGGAATATTGGTTTGGCTGAGGTCTGAGCGAATCAGTAACGTGCACCAGCAACCCTTTAAATGTCCAAATGCACATTCTACCATCATTCTGCATGTGCTCAACCTATAGTTGAACAGCTCCTGACTACTGTCCAGGCTGGCTGGGTCCCCAAGGATAACTATAGGCATGTCAACATCCCCAACGGTTATTTGCTGGTCTGGGAAGTAAATCCCTTGCTGCAGCTGTTTAAACAGATTAGTGTTCCTGAAGACGCGAGCGTCATGAACCCTTCCCAGCCATCCCACATTGATGTTGGTGAAACGTCCCTTGTGATCCACCTGTGCTTGCAGCACCATTGAAAAGTACCCCTTGCGGTTTATGTACTGGCTGCCCTGGTGCGCCGGTGCCAAGATAGGGATATGGGTTCCATCTATCGCCCCACCAAAGTTAGGGAATCCCATTGCAGCAAAGCCATCCACTATGACCTGCACATTTCCCAGAGTCACTACCTTTCGTAGCAGCACCTCAGTGATTGCTTTGGCTACTTGCATCACAGCAGCCCCCACAGGAGATTTGCCCACTCCAAATTGATTCCCGACTGACCAGTAGCTGTCTGGCGTTGCAAGCTTCCACAGGGCTATCGCCACTCGCTTCTCAACTGTGAGGGCTGCTCTCATCTTGGTATTGTGGTGCTTCAAGGCAGGGGAAAGCGAGTCACAAAGTGCCCTTACACATGCGAAAGTTACGCAGCCACTGGGAATCGTCCCAGACCCGTCCCACCAGTCTGTGCTTGTTTCCCAGGCCCAGAATCTGCGTTCCATGGCTAGAACCTACCCCATTAACACCATGATCTCCAAAGAGCCGGGGCCCGCGGTTTGAGAGAATTCTGTGTCCATGTCCTCATCACTCTTGTCGTCCCCCCTGCAGCTGTTGCCACCTCCTCCGCGCCTGGTTTTTCAGGTTCTGGCTCAGCATAAACTACACAATAATGCACGAGGTGTTTACAATGTTCATGACTGCTGTCTTGAGCTGAGTGGGCTCCATGCTTGCTGTGGTATGGCAACCACCAGAGACAATGTTTTTTGCCCCATCAGGCATTGGGATCTCAACCCAGAATTCCAATAGGCAGGGGAGACTACAGGAACTATGGGTTAGCTACCCACAGTGCAACACTCCGGAAGTCGATGCTAGCCTCGGTACTATGGTCGCACACTGCCGAATTAATGTGCTTAGTGTGGCTGCATGCACTCGACTTTATACAATCTGTTGCCAAAAATCGAATTCTCTAAAATCGGAGCAATCCCGTAGTGTAGACATACACAAAGCAGCTGAGTTAGGGTCTGTCTATGCTGCAGTCAGAGGCTGCAATTGCAACTGGAGCAGACATACCCCAGCTCGTTTTCATCTCGCTAGCTCGGCTCCCAGAACAGTGACGCTGCAGCAGCATATGCTTCAGCATGGGCTAGTCCTGTGACTAATGACTCAGGGGTCCAGACAGGCTTGTACAGCCTGTGCTGAAGTATTGCTCTGGTACCTGAGCTAGCGAGAGTAAAGCTAGCTTCAGATATGACTGCTCAAGCTGTAGTCACCCCTTCAGTCTTAATTTATACTGATGTAATTGAGTGGTCTGGTGGTTAAAACTAGGCATCAGGATTCTTGGGTTCCATTCCCAGTTCTGTGAGGGGAGTAGGGTCTAGTGGTTAGAGCTGTAGGGGCTGAGAATCAGGACTTCTGGGTTTGGTTACCAGTTAGAGAAGGAATGGAGTCTAGTGTGTCAGAGCAGCAGGAATGAGGGTCAGGACTTCTGAGTTCTGTTCCCAGCTCTGGCCGGAGAGTAGTAGATGGGGCTCGGAGTCGGGACTCCCAGGTTCCATTCCCAGCTCTGGACTGGGAGGGGAGGTTAGAGTGTGTTTGTGTTGGGGGGGGTTGGGAGTCAGGACTCCCGACTCTGAGGGCAGTGAAATGTAGTGGGCTAGGGCAGGGGAAACTGAGAATCGGGACTCCTGGGTTCCCTTCCCTGTTTTCAAAACTGAACGAAGGAAATATCCTTTCTGACATGATGGTGTTAGACTGTGGAACTCACTCATACAAGATGACATTGAAATCTCTATGGGTAAAAGGAATATCAATAATACAACAAAGAGTTTTAGAAGGCATATAAACCTCATGCCTCGGGCCTTAAGCCAATCTCTGACTAGCGAAGCTGTGCGAGATTTTTCAACCAAAACTTTTTAGGATGAAAAATGCAGATTTGGTGACACTGCAATGGTTCATGATTTCATACTGGTTTTGCTGAATTGTTCGTTTCAGGGGGGAAAATCCCCAAAATGTCTAAATGTTTTGATTTTTCGATTTGAAACAACTTTGTTTAGAAATTTCCTTGAATTGTTTTTTAATAAAAAAATACTAAAAAATTTAAAAGCGATTTGCAATCAAAGCAAAATCTTTAGTTTGTCCTGCAGTACTGGGCCAATCCTCCACTACGTGGATTAACACTTGCTGAGGATCTGGCCCGAAAGTATTTGCTGAGCTCTTGGGTACCATATGTTGGATCCCAGCAGAGTGCAACACTAGCTTTTGAACTACATGGAGGAGTTACATAGAGTAATTGATTCGTGTCCCCCACCTTGCATAGCAGCAGGTCCCGTGGTATAAATTCCTGCTGTGATTTGGAGGTCAACATGCTGTTTGAAGAGGTTGATTCCCTGCATTAAGTGCAAAATTCAACCCCTATGGAGTTGTCACTGATGCCTGCATAGTACTTCTGGCATGATTAAAACAGTAAAAGAGATAGGGAGGAGTCTTCAAAAGTGCCTAAGCCCCCACTTTCAAAAATGATTGGGAGCCACATTTTCCAAGGTATTTAGGTGCCAAGAGATTCAGATAAGTGCCCAGTGGGATTTTCAGAAGTGCTCAGGTAGATGAGGCACTTAACTCTCATGGGAGTGGCTAAGTCACTGGTGAAAATGGAACGTAGGCTCCTAAGGCACATAGGCACTTTTGAAAATTGTACCCATAGCCCCTACAACAGTTGCTCGTTTTTCTTTCCTTAACTGGCTTCCTTGGCTGAGTCTGGCATGGTGGGTTTCAGAAGGATCTTCATTTCTTGTTCTTCATCTCTCAGATGCCTGGGTCTCAATGAAAAAGAATATCAGTAAATATTAACATTTATACAAGCATCAAGAAATGTACTTGGCTTAAAACATGCTTGGAGCGAATGGGGCCAGATCCCACCTGGTGTAAATTAGCCATAGCTACACTGGAGTCAATGGGATCAGATTATCTAGCTAATCTATCTAAATGACTGGAGGATAGCTAATGTGATGCCAATTTTTAAAAAGGGCTCCAGAGGTGACCCTGGCAACTACAGGCTGATAAGCCTCACTTCAGTTCCGGGCAAATTGGTTGAAACTATCATAAAGAACAAAATTGTCAGACACATAGCTGAACATAATTTGTTGGGAAATAGTCAACATGGTTTTTGTAAAGGGAAATCATGCCTCACCAATCTACTAGAATTTTTGAGGGGTCAACAAGCATGCTGACAAAGGAGATCCAGTGGATATAGGGCATTTAGATTTTCAGAAAGCCTTTGACAAGATCCCTCACCACAGGCTCTTAAGCAAAATAAGTCCTGGGATAAGAGAGAAGGTTGTCTCATGGATTGGTAACTGGTTAAAAGATAGGAAACAAAGGGTAGGAATAAATGGTCAGTTCTCAGAATGGAGAGAGGTAAATAGTGGGGTCCCCCAGGGGTCTGTTCTAGGACCAGTCCTATTTAACATATTCATAAACAATCTGGAAAAAGGGATAACAGTGAGGGGGCAAAATTTGCAGATGATACAAAACTACTCAACATAGCTAAGTCCCAAGCAGACTGCAACGAACTACAAAAGGATCTCACAAAACTCGGTGACTGGGCAACAAAATGGAAAATGAAATTTAATGTTGATAAATGCAAAGAAATGCATATTGTAAAACATAATCCTAACTGTACATATACAAAGATGGGGTCTAAATTAGTTGGTACCCCTCAAGAAAGTGATCTTGGAGTCATTGTGGATAGTTCTCTGAAATCATCCACTCAATGTGCAGCAGCATTCAAAAAAGCGAACAAAATGTTGGGAATCATCAAGAAAGGGATAGATAATAAGACAGAAAATATCATATTGCCTCCATATAAATCCATTTTATGCCCACACCTTGAATACTGCGTCCAGATGTGGTCGCCCCATCTCAAAAAAGATATACCGGAATTGGAGAAAGTTCAGAAAAGGGCAACAAAAATGATTAGGGGTATAGAACGGCTTCCGTATAAGAGATTAATAAGACTGGGACTTTTCAGCTTGGAAAAGAGGTGACCAAGGGGTTATTATCAAGATCTATAAAATCATGAGTGGTATAGAGAAAATAAATAAGGAACTCTTATATACTCCTTCTCATAATAGTAGAACAAGGGGCCACCAAATGAAATTAATAGGTAGCAGGTTTAAAACAAACACAATAAAGTATTTTTTCACACAACACAATGTCAACCTCTGGAACTCCTTGCCAGAGGGTGTTCTGAAGGCCAATACTATAACGGGGTTCAAAAGGGAGCTAGATAGATTCATGGAAAATAGGTCCATCAATGGCTATTAACCAGGATGGGCAGGAATGGTGTCCCTTGCCTCTGTTTGCCAGAAGCTGGGATTGGGTGACACGGCATGGATCACTTGATAACCTGTCTGTTAATTCCCTTTGGGGCACCTACCATTGGCCACTGTCAGAGGACAGGGTACTGGGCTTGATGGACCTTTGGTCTGACCCAGTATGGCCGTTCTTATCTATCTATCTATCTATCTATCTATCTATCTAATCATGCATATCATTTCTTGTTTGTGCTCTCTCTCTCTCTCTATCACTCTCTCTCTCTCTATCACAAAACTCCCACAAGGTGCGTCATGGCTAAAGTGGTTGCCTCCCCACAACATTTTC